TAATACATTGAAATATAAATAATAAAGGATACAAATATATATTGTATATTATATACATATTTATTAATAAAGTCAACTGCAAATTAAGTTATGTTATACGGTCCACCTGGATTTATGGAGAAGTATTAGCTGAAAGAGAACTAATTCTTTTTGTGTAAAATTGGACAGTGTGGCTGATCAGGAATCCCTTATGCAGTCAGCTAAAAATCTACTGTACCAGTTAGCAGTAAAACATGATCCCGCTTCACAGTGGTTCTTTCAGGAATCACACTGAAAAGGGCTTAGTCTCAGGACCTAATCCTAGAGGCTGTTTACACAGTGCACCATGTGAATGGATCTAATGTGTGAAGCGAAAAGTCTACAGAGCTTTAAATACACTAACTCATCGGCAGGCTTCTCAAAGCAAGCCAGTGCTTACCTTATGCCAATGCTGGGGTTAAGAAGCTGCACAAAGAGGCAATGGGATAAGGAAATATTTGGCAGTATTTTATGTCCCTTACAATTAGCACTCTGCTTGCTTACAAATTATAATCCACAGACCAGTTCTTCACCTTGAATATAAGGGAGTAGACTGAACAAATGGTTACTTGATAGAGATTTTTTAAATTTGAGAGCCTTTCAAAAATCTGGTAACTATTGTTAGATGCAGGAAATGGTTTTATTTTAGCTTCAGCCCAGTACTTTAGACTCAGATTTGATCTCTAGATCAGCAGTAACAGATGGTGCTTTCTCCCGTGGTTTTTTTGGTGAGCTTATTGTAGACAGTCTGAGTCACTTCACCTGCACAGTTTACATCTTTAGTACTTGGAGCTTGAGTTTCCTCTCTAGCTGCCATGACAGGAAGACAGAACTTAATCAAGATCTCTGCCATAATAGCAAATTCTAGGCAAAGGAACCTCATTTATACCTAACCCATTCACTTCCATTCTCTTTTTCTGCTGTACACACATACACGCACACGCACATACACAACCTGGAGTAAACATAATCAAAGCCATATTTATTTATAAAGGCTACCTACCCCCAATAAATAGCCCTCTCTAGCCTGCCTCACTAACTTATTTTCCACCATCACAATCATATCTTAGAGACTTCTATAAAAATTGATTTCACATAATACTTGAAAGGACATTACAAATTGTAAAAAGATAAAAGAGTATGAGTTATTAGTATCAACATTAAAGTATTGGTAGAGTTATGGCAGTTCTGATCTATGGGGAATGTTAGTTATGTAAAGTAACACAGCTTCAAGAGCTGGCTTCTTTGCAGTCCCTCACCATCTGACCCTTTGCTACCATTCTCAACTCTTGCCTCACTGTTCTTTTGCACAGAGCCAACACCTGTTCAGACTGTCTCCCCTTTGTTCTCTGTAGGTATGTTCCTGGTCTTATCTCTTTGTTCTTTTTCACACTATTGCCTCAGCCTGGAATTCTGCTCCTCCTTATCCAAATTCTATCCATGTTTCAAACCTCACCTCAAACCAAGGTAGGACAAGCACTTTTCAGGAATGCTTTGCAGCAGGTTACTCTATGGAAGAGAGATCCAGATAACTAAAGCGCCTTCCAATTCTAAATTCTGTTTGATCTTTTTTTTCTTTCTTGTCTTAAATTGATTTCTATTGTTTCATTATATTGGTTTGTATCTCTCTAATTAGAATGTTAACGTCTGAGAATAGGACTCACCTCCTAGATATTTTCTCCTTGCAAATCATCTCACAAAGTGGGACATATTAAATATGTAACTCTTGATTGATTCCCAGATCTGAATATCTGTGGAAAATGATGATCAACCTTCTCTATTGTTTGTTGAGGAAAGGCAAGATAAAATAGACTTAAATTGTAACGAATAGAATTTATTTATATAAAATTAATTTCCTGCTAGTAAAGGGTCTTACAAGGAGCCTTGGTGGTCCAATGGTTATGTACTTGGTTGTTAACTGAAATATTGGAAGTTTGAACCCACCCAGTGACTCCAGGGGAGAAAGACCTAGCAATCTGCTTCCATAAAGATTACAGGCTAGAAAACTCTATGGAGCAGTTCTACTCTGTCACATGAGGTTGCTATGAGTCAAAAATCGACTCCATGGAATGAAGAAAACCAAAGACACAAGGGAAAGATTAGTCAAAAGGACTAATGGACCACAACTACCACAGCCTCCACCAGACTGAGTCCAGCACAACTAGATGGTGCCCAGCTACCACCACCAACTGCTCTGACAGAGATCACAGTAGAGGGTGCTGGACAGAACTGGAGAAAAATATAGAACAAAATTCTAACTCACAAAAAAAGATCACACTTACTGATAGGACAGAAACTGGAGAAGCCTTGAGCATCTGGCCTCCAGACACCCTCTTAACTCAGTACTGAAGTCACTCCTGAGGTTCACCTTTCAGCCAAAGATTAGACAGGCCCATAAAACAAAACAAGACTAAATGGGCACACCAGCCCAGGGGCAAGGACAAAAAGGTAGGAGGGGACAGGAAAGCTGGTAATGGGGAACCCAAGGGCAAGAAGGGGAGAGTGTTGACACATCATGGGGTTGGCAACCAATGTCACAAAACAATATGTGTATTAATTGTTTAATGAGACAGTAATTTGCTCTGTAAACCTTCATCTGAAGCACAATTTTTAAAAAAGCACATATGCAAATAAATATATAATATTAAAAAAATTCAACTCTATGGTACCTAACAACAAAGGATATTACACATCTATTATTATTAAAGGAAATGGTGGTAATCCTTCCTTCTAGGTTGTTCAAATAATCTAAACATTATCGGTAGTTTGTTTTAGTGGTAACCTTGTTGGGCTCAAGGAAAAAGAATAACTTCCAAGTGCTCCCTTATACTTGAGAAATTTTATATTTACTCAGATATTAGTATGCCATATTCTAGGTCTGAAATATAATCCACTGTCTAATCGTTCAACAAAGAGTGCTTGTTATTAATAAGTGTCTATATGTAAGTACTTTGGAAAAAATGGAACATTCATAATGACTTGAAATTTGATTAATCGCCTTATTGGTAGTATTTTATATAATCCTAAGTGCTACAATATGAAATACTTTTTAGTAAGATCTGCATGCTTCTGAAAGTCCCTCTCTAAATAATTTATCTGACAGGTAATTGCCAATGTGTTTTTTGGTGGGAACCTTTCGACAGTTTTCCACATTGTCATAACAGTAGTTATCATTACTGTAGCCACACTTGTGTCACTGGTGATCGACTGCCTTGGAATAGTGTTAGAGCTCAATGTAAGTACATTTAAAGATTCACTAATTCCATTCTAAAAAAAAAAAAACCTTTAAAAAGTACTGTCTACATCTAACATAAAATATGTTTTCTTTTAATAAAAGTGTCACTTCCTGAGTAGAATGAAATATTTGTACATAGTAGTAAATATTGATATGATGATGTTGTGCACTGTATAGGACTATATACTTTTAGAGCAGTGAAGGGTCCCCACAACAGGGAACATTTGGCAATGTCTGGAGATTTTGGGGTTGTCACAACTGGGGAGGGTTGCTACTGGCAGCTAGTGGGTAGAAGTCAGGGAGGTTGCTAAAAATTATCCCACAGTGCACAAGACAGCCCCCACAACAAATAATTATCTGATCAAGATATGAATAGTTCTGAGATTGAGAAACCTTATTTTAAAGCATATTTCATTTAGTATAATACATAGATATTACCAAAAAAAAAAAAGCCTCCATAAATTAAATGGATCTGGAATTTTCTTTGCCAAGTAAAAATAGCTCTAGTGAGATTCATTAAAAATATGTGCATGAACTTTTCACAATTGTCAAAAAATGGAAACTTAAATGTCTTATTATTAAATAGATAAAATGTTGTATATACATACAATGAAACATTACACAGACATAAAGAGAAACGAAGTCCTGATATATAGTACAACATGGATGAACCTTGAAAACATGCTGAGTGAAATACATCAATCACAATCCTTAAGGAATTTCTGCTAAGAATTACACCCCTTAGCATTTATTAGTCATGCACTACAGGGAGGGCAGACTTTCACAGTTGCGATATCAAGTCTCATTTACTCATTCCATTGAGAGTTGAGGGAGAAGTTGAAGATATTATTGTCATTACCCAATTCACTCTTCCCTCTATACACCATTTTGATTTGAAGTTCCAAACAACGGCTGTTGGACGTTCAGTTACAAACACATTATTGGGAATTTTTTTTTAGCAGATTAAATGGAAAGTGGGAAGTAGGCAACCTCCATGTAGTAGACAGCTTTCCAAAACCTTAGGGGTGTGGGGAATCATGTACTCTATGAACAATGAAGAGAAAGCTGGTGAGAGAGGTGGACAAGTGTCAAAACTAATTTTTACCTACTTCCCAATTTTGCATAGGCCAAAGGCTAGTAGGTCCATTAAAACTATTTCAGGTATCATACTTTTGTGTAAATGGATGACTGCTACCTTAATTCACTATCTTGCATTATGTATTATATCATGTACTATTTGGACAATCTACATCTTGCCTTGCCTACCATTTTAAGGTTTTGAAGACAAGAATAATAGCCTTTTTTTCCATCCTCCATAGTATCTAGCATGGTGCTAAGAACATAGTGTTCAAATTACTGCATTGGCTATCGTCCCGTGGGACCACAGTTCAAGACCTATTTCTACAGATGCTCCTGGACATAAGAGACATTCTTTAGTGTGGCACCAGGAAATTAAGTGTTACAAAAAATTGTTGGTATTGACAATAATAGTGACCCATCAACTATGCTGTGAAGCTGATAGACATAACCGTTCCTAGCCCTGTTGTTTCTTGTTTTGTGAAATGTCTCATTTGAGTTCACTTGTTTTTTTTAATTGTAGGATTTTGTTGTGAGAGAAATATGTTTATCAACTTCCTGTTGTTAAGACAGAATTCTAGTATTGTAATCAGAAAAGAACACTTTGTATTTTTTTTTTTTAATATTTTATTGTACTTCAGGTGAAGGCTTACAGAACAGATAGTTTCTCATGTAACAGTAACACACATGCTGTTTTATGACATTGG